TTTAGAGAAGAGAGAGAGAGAGAGAGAGAGAGAGAGAGAGAGAGAGAGAGAGAGAGAGAGAGAGAGAGAGGAAGTTGACGCCAACCGTAATCTGGGCAAATTGCACGGAGGATTACGGGCAGGGTCTAAGCGATCACGATCCTACGGTTTGGTGCTACTTGGACCTGGACGAACTTGCATCGGATAACTCCGACTTCGACGAGTTTTGGAAGGCCCATCGGGAGAACGGGGAGCTGCCGTCGGACGACGACCCGGGTCGCATAGCCATCGCCGGGCTATCACAGGAAGAGGAGTCGGAAGCATGGTCGACGTCAAAGGAAGAAGAAGAGGCGTCAGCACCCGAGCCCCGAAAGGATCCTCCAGCACGAGCATCGCCTATCGTCCGAGGGGGATCCGCATTGAATCCCGCCATTCCCTCAGATGCCGCCAGTCGACACGATGGCGCAACAACCTTCCGCCGGCGCCGCCGCTCTCGCTCACCATCTCCCTCCATTTCCGCACCCTCCACGATTCGTCCCCGTCCTCCTCCCGGCCCAGACGTACCGTCCTCGTCCCGTCTTCCGCCGCCCCCTTGATTACCTCTCCTTTCGTCCCCTCCCCCACCTTGAATTCCCTCTGGACTATCGCATCTTTGCCAGCCATGCATTTTGTCATCATTTCGCCGTGCGACTCTTGTGTATAGTTTTTCCTCATCGCTCCCCCTCTTTTCACCTCAATGTTCTCCTCTTTAGCGTCGCCTGGGTAGAGTTCAACCATATGGAGTTGTACTGTATCATCTGAGGCACCTTTCCCGCCTTTGAGGACTATGAGTCCCTAAGCGATAATGTCCTCCACACCATACCCGCCTTATATCCCAATTACCTATTTTCCATGTCCCGACCCAATCATCGTTTCCCCGCGTACACCCGATCGTACACTTCGTCCATCTCGGCGACGAAGCGGCGGATTATTTCCCTCCGCTCCCATCTGAGTGGCCCCGACCTCTCCACCACCCTCTCCTTGTCGACTACCGGCAGGCGGACTTCCAATGACAGGGKAGGGGTGCAGAGCACACGGAGAATCAGCGGACGATGATGGCGTCACCTGGACAATTTTCAGCGATCGAGAAGGCAAGGGGATTCCAGCAGCTCGAGCCAATAGACTCGTGAAGATATTGCAATTGACGTTGGCATCAACATGAACTCTGGCTCAACTATCTGTGTTGCTGCGGACACTTTCTCTCCTGATACGCTTGGTTCCTCATTCATCCTCTCTCCCCTCTCCCTCCTCTGCCACGACATGCAATCAAGAGATCGCATAATTTTGGAACCCCCTGCGCGTCACATATGTGACGAACCAGCTTCCGGATTTGCGCCATCTTTCGGACCCCTTCCCTTCCCGTGTTTTCTCTGCATCTAGATGTGTCTTGATCGGCCCCCGAAATCCCCCCTCTGTTTTTGTTCGATTAAAGGTACCTCGTTGAAATTTGTATGTTTGTCAGCACTAGTAGTTCTTGAAATTCCGTCATTTTTTACTTTTGGAAATGCATGGGAATTACGCGCGCCTTAGTGAGCGTGCTCGGAATTTGGCTCGACAGTTAGGAATTCCGGAATTAACGGAACGCGGCGTGTCCTTTCACGCGCGAATATGCTCAACCTCGACATGGAAAACTCTGGGAATTTTGTAGGATTATGGATGGGCGTAGGACTTTCTTTCTTTTCTCGCGTCTACTTTTTACGCACATATGGTGATTTTAATTTTTGAATTAGCGTAGGGCTGGGAAAAACTGCAACTATTTTGGTGCCCATTCTTCTTTTGTTGTTCGACACCATGCAAACGAGCTCCCTCCTCCTTCTTTCTTGCGCTCCTCTCAACGCCTCCCCTCGCGCGCACATGCTTTCTCGCTCCCTCCCCCTGTAACTGTTTTTCTCTCTCCTTCCCCGCGCGCGCCCTTTTTTCTGTTTCTTGATCATCTGAATCTTGGATCCGTTTCACGCTATCCTTCGCACTCTTTTTCTTCCCACTCTAAAACCCGCGCTCGAAAACCCGATCGATCCTCTCTTCCCATTTAGCCAAGGAGAAGCGCCGTGTAAAAGGAGATTCCTACTGCGCGATGATTCTGATTGGCTGAGATCGGATTGTGAGGGATCAACATGGCTTGCAACGGGCGATTACCCTCAAGCCCTCCCTTACCCTCCTCTACCCTACTCTTCATCTTTCCCCGCATCTATCTCCCCTCTCGCAACTATAAATTACGTCGGCGCTGTCGGTGCAGATACCCTTACATGGGTACCCGCACTGGGTTTTGGCAGTTAACAAAGAAATGGGTAGATTCATAATTAATGGGAAAACCCCACGAGTCGCAGGGATTCACGGACCATAGATTCGGCGGTAACATCTAGGATTAGAAAGTGTGTGGGCGCACAGGTTCGAGACGCGCGTGATTTTTCTCTCTTTGATCACAATGGAAGACGAGGTGTGCATTCGGGTCAGCGTGCTTCGTTATAACAAATTATTTGTTTTGATTAAACTGACTAACTATGAGTGCGTTGTTTTCTGATTCCGCAGGGTACGGTGGACGGTTCAGTGAGCCGGTGCGGACGTACGCGGAATCTTGATGATGGAACCTGATGGATTCGGTTAGGGAAGGGTAGCCGTGGCACGACAGGTAGGCCGGAGTGCAAGTGCGGGCCGAGAAGTGACGTGGGGTGGTTCCTTGGCCCTAAAAGCCGCAGGCTACCTCTTTATTAGGAGATCCGCGCCCACTGGTATCAGCCTTGGACTTGCCCTATAGGTTACGGCATTGGGCTGACACTACGAAGGTTCGGGATCGAGGCCAGCGGGCGTCGGCGCAGCAGCAGCGGAGCAACCTGCAGCGAAAAATCCTGCGGGGTCGCGGGCCTGAAAGGACTATCCCCCTCGGTTTGTTGGTGGGTGCGGCGGCGGGCCCGATCCACGGGAACCCCCCCCCCCCTTATACCTCTTGTTATTTTTGTTTTAGTTTTCATCTTGTAAGCGGGACGCGATACCGGGGATGATATGGGGCTGCGTGGAGTGTGTTGTATTCACGGGGTCGCCCAAAATGCAATTGCAGACTGTGTTCGTGGCTGCGCAAGGGCTACCTTGACCACGCCCCGTTTTGCCTAGGACGCGGCACAATGGGCGTGGTACGGGACTCAAGAGCTTAGCTCTGTGAGTACACCCATGAGCTGTTGAAATACAGACCTGTTTTTGAATCTAGGCGATGGGGCCGCGGCCCGGGCGTCTGTCCTTCGGGACAATCGTTAAAACTGGAATGATACAGGGAAGGTTAGCCAGGCCCCTGCGCAGGGATAATGGGCATAACTCACGGGCGGTCTTCCCATTTGTTCGCTGGGCTCTGGCCCAGGCCTCCATATGGCCCTGACCGAGTGTGCTAGTAGGAGGGCAGGTGTACTGGCCGATAGCTCGTCGTTGTCGGGCTTGCGGTTAAATGATAAAGGTCCTTGGCCAGGGTAGCACATCTCGGCAGTAGGCTGCGCTGATCAGAGGGTGCCTGAAGTGCAATAACAAACTGTTTTCGTGACCGCGCTGGAGCCGCGCCCGCTTTGCCCTGGGACGCGGCATAGTGGGGGCGGCGGCTGATTGGGACTGTCGGAGCCTCCGTCGAAGGTTGGACAACACGGAGGAGAAGTGCTGGGAATGAACCCGGACGGGTTAGTAGAGAGGGCAGATAGGCAGCGAATAGGGCGTTGGGGCGGTAGCGGGCAGCGAGGCAGCAGGCGCAGACAGGGGCGGTCGTAAAAGGGGAGGAGGCCTGACGACCGATCACCTTTGCGCAGGGTCCGGTGGCCAACGGGCTGCTTGCGGGGAGTCGACATCGGCCGGGGCAGCGGGCAGCAGATATCAGGGGGTGGTGGAGTACCTGGGCGCACCCCGGCACCAGGTGCACCCCCTGAGTGAGGGTGGGCGGAATCGGCCGGGTAGCGCCAGGTAGCAGCAGAGCGGAGCGGGGGACAACAGAGGCGCGAATCGTTCGTCGGACTCGGGATATCAGCCCGAGAGGCTAGTCAAACCAGTTAATAGTTGGTTCTTGCTGAAGCTCCCGAACTGCTGTGTAGCTCGTACTGCTGATGAACCGGCCACTGAAGGACGCCGCGTCAGCCTAGGAGGGGTCAGCGAGGGCGGAACAAACAACGTGGGAAAACGCGGATGAACCCGGACGGGAGGCGGGGCCATATGCGTGCGAAGCGAAGAGGGAGGAGGTAAGGCAGGGCGGCTACCGCTAGGTGCTGCGCTAGCAAGTGGTGGAAAGGAAGAATGAACCTGGCGGGGCCCTGCGCCAGGAGCATCCGGGAAGGAGGACGATGGGAGGATGAGGCGAGCGCAGCAAAGGAGAGCCGATTCTTCGAGATTCCATGGTTTCGGGTGAGGGAAGAGTCGATCCCGGGGTTTTGACCCCGGGCGATCTAGAGGTATAGTTAGTTTCGATAGGAGGTCAACGGATTAGGAGTTAGGAAGAAAGAAAGGTCCTGGGGCTATGGCGGGTGAAGGAGGGATGAAAACGGGGAGTGCATGACAACCTCGATCCGTGACGGGCTTCGGTGAACCAAAGGCCGAAACCGGAGTTTTTGATAGGGCGGATTCGATGGCGCGGTTAGCTTGGGAGAAGAGTTAGTATTTCGGGGGTTAGAGTGGAAAGGTGTTGCGCGGGCGATAGCGAAAGCTTGGCTATGTCGAAGGGGAAGAGAAACAACTCCCTCGATTCGTTGTGAGAACGAGCGAGTGAAGGTGCTAGACTGGGGTTTTCTGGCATGGCGAGTCAGGTGGCACTGTCAGTTTTGTCAACAGGATGTAGTGTAGTGGGGTAGGAGAAAAGATAGACTGCGAAAAGTGAGGGGGAATGTGAGGAACGTATCTGGCGGGGTTTCTGCGACAGATATGTCAAGGAAAAAGGGGGTAGAAAGCCGAGTCGGGGTGCAGCAGGGAGGTAAGGACGAGAAGGAGGAGTGCCGTAGCGAAGAAAGCGCCTACCTGAGAAATTGCAAGTTTCCGGGGCTGATGGCTCGTCCCTCCTCCCGGATGTATGCGGCCGGGATCGTGGCCGGGTGCGTGTAGGAATCGGCAGGGGAGGAAAATGTCACGATTTGAAGACATCATTCGATACTGCACTCGAACACTTGAGGCTGGGGGGTTGAGCTATCACGGAGGAACTAGCGGCATTACAGTCTTGGCATGGAAAGCAGTCCTGCTCGATACGAACTGTAGGGGCGGCGCTATGTGCAAGCAGGGGCAAAGCAAGGATGCACAGGGGAATACCTTCGTGTCCTAGCGGAGGATTCAGTCAGATTCTGATCACCTCGTTGGTGTACAGGGCCGCAAGGGCGTTTCTGCCTCAGCCATCTTATGGGTCGAATACTCCATTCCCTACGCATGAGCACACTCAGGGGCATTACTAGGAGCTGTGAACAATGGTGAGGTGCATCCGGGGCTTACCTTCTGTGTAGAAGCTTGTGTTGGAGGAGGTGTAAGTGTGCCTGCGGGCTGGTGAGTTGGACAGCCTGTTGAGCTACTGTTCAGAGGGCTGTGAACTACAGAACTACAGGATTACAAACTGAGTGCTACAGGACTGTGGGCTCCGGACCGGAGGGCTGCGCACCACTGCTGCGCGCGACTGAGACTGCAAGGATAGTTGCTGCACATGGATGCCGACAGTTACAGACTGTTACAGACTGCTTCAGGCTATTGTGCAGCTGAAGCAGGGATAGGGAGGAAGCTGCAGCAACGGAGTAGGGAGGGTGATAAAGAAGAGAAAAAGGTTGCGGCCATAGCCTGGAAGGGCAGGGGGGGCAAGGGTTATTGTTGCCCTTTGGTGGAACCAACGACCTGCAGTTTGGTCCGAACTGCTGCTACGATACTT